CACCCTGACTGGTAGAGGTGTTGGTGACAAGCTACCACACTGAGTGAAAGATAAAACCCAGTGACACCATGGTCTTGGCAGCTCCTCCCCTTGTGTCCAATCTGTCCACCATTACTGCCATTGCCACCAGGAGCTTGATGTGTGCTGGAGTGTCTGCTCTACAACATGCCCCACACTCTTCTAGTAACATCACTGCTCCTGTCTACCTAGTTACTTCCTGTTGTTGTTGGTGTTGTCATCCAGGTTCGACTCATAGTGACTTTGGATAGGGTTTTCAAGGAGTGGCTGGTGAGTTTGAACCACCAACTTTGTGACTTAAATTAACCTTGCCCAGCCCACAACACCACACCAGGACTCACATCCTGTAGAACTAATGAAAGTCTCTCAACTCAGATTTTCTTCCTGAGGGCTGTTTCTCAGATTCCCAAAACCAAATCAAGTCTATCAAATGCCTGCTTACAATTTGCTGTACTGTCCATATAAAATATATTTTTTTTCATGTTTTTGTTCTACCATAGGTTCAAATTAGTCTGCTAACTGCAAGCCAGTAGTTCAAACCCATCAGTCACTCAGCAGGAGACAGATGAGGCTGCCTGCTCCCATAAAGATTTATAGTCTCAGAAACCCTAGATGGGGTCACTATGAGCCAGAATTGACTCAATGGCAGTGAGTTTACTTATTTATTTTTTGTCCAATATCTGCACCATCAGGGAAGAAAATGTCTTTATTTGTTTACTATGCCTAAGACCCAGCACAATACCAGGAATACCATGGGTACACTTTTAATATTTGTTAAATACATAGAAAAGAGAAACTTATAAATCATGTGACTTTTTCATTCAATAAAATGTTTCTATAACTACAGCATCCATAGTGGAATGGGCAGAGCTCGTAGAAAGAGGAGTGAAATGCAATCATTAGTAGCAATGAAGACACTGCAAGTTGATACCTACCTACTACAGTCCCTTAATGTATGCATGTGGAAGTACGTAGACTTGACCATATTATGCAAGAATCAGTTTTGTATGTGTCTGCCCCACTCCCTAAACTCCTTAAAGGCAGGGACTACGGATTCATCCTCTTTGTATTCCCCAGTGTTGGACACTTAAAAGACCCTTAAAGTTACTGATTCAAGTAAGTTGTCTTGTCTTCCCCAGAAATGGCAGCAAGTAGGACATGTTGTGAACAATTTGGAAGGTATTCTGTAGAAGTATATTAAACTCTCTGATAAGAAACATTAACATTCTTGAGCTATTTGATTACTCTCTAATTCACTGATGCATTAATTTCCCAAATGTGGTAATGAACAAATCAGGCATTGCTAATGGAGAAATGAATTAAAATCTACTGCTCCAGGGCACCTAACAATGCCCAGGTGACTTAAAATATTTCTGAAAAGAGAAACAAAGATATTCTCCAGAAGTAATTTGCCTATTAGCTGAATTCACTTTGTTAAATGCTACATGTGTGGGGTAAACTTATAAAGGTCACAATTCCAGGAGTTTATAAAAGTGAACACGTTATTGCAATAGATAAATTAAATAAGAATATGCAAACAATGATAGAGTGATTCAATGTAAGCATATTTTTATTTTGTTCAACTCTGGAGTGAATGAATACAGGAGTAGAGAAAATATCATCAGTATTGCTACATAGGAGGTGGTGGTGGTTCTTAGGTGCCATCGTGACCCCCATGACAGTATAGAACTGCCACATAGAGTTTTCTTGGTTCTACTCTTTAAGAAAGCAGATCTCCAGGTCTTTCCCCCACAGAGCTGCTAGGTGGGTTTGAACTGCCAATGTTTCAGTGAGTAGCTGAGCATTTAACCATATGCGCCACCAGAAGAAACATGAATAATTTCAATAAATCCAAGTAGTCTTTATGGAAGTGTTGGCATTTTCAGGGTTCGCCAAAGGGTAGAAAAATTTACTAAAATCATTTAGTGTGTGGTAGGAAATTTTTTCCTTATCAAGGATGTCACTAGAGGAGAGGAAACTAATAATGAAAAATAGAAGAGATTTACAAGGAATATAAATTTCAAATTTAAGAGGAAACAGAAAATTAAGGTAGAAATTGATATTCAGATAAAGGGACAATATAAGCCCATTTTTATTCCATTGGCCTCCCTGAAGAGTTATTAAACAATTAAGAATGGGGGAAAAAAAAGCAAGTTAAAACAATTTCAACTCTCTCTTTCTGTCTTCAGCGAACCAAACAAACACCAAATCCCAAATCACAACTTTGAAGAATAACTGAAAAACTTGTTTTGTTTTGTTTCTGTACTAAATAACTCTCAGTGGACACTGAGAGTCAATACAACCCACAACAATCCCAACCCACAAGTCTTTGGCTCAGCTGCCATCAAGGAGTCTTTGACTCATGGCAATCCATATTTGTCACAGTACAACTGTGGTCTGTAGAGTATTCATTGGTTGATTTTTCAGACGTTGATTTCCAGGTCTTTCACCAAAGAACCACTAAGTTAAGTAAAATTGCTAACCTTTCAGCTGACAGCTCAGAGCATTTACCACTTGCGCCACACCGGGACACCACTCTCTAACCTGGATCCAAATAACTGCCACTAAAAATATGTAGGACAGTCCAGAAATACTGCTCCAGACCTTTATAATCAATATAAAGGGCCATGGGAATGTGATTCCTGTCCTACATAATCCATGGACTATTTCTGGACTGTCCCACATGACCTATGGAGTCCTGGTAAAGTGCTGTAAAATCAACAATGCCTGGAGAAGGACATCAAATTTGGTAAAGTGGAGAATGAGCAAAAATGAGGAAGACACTTAATGAGAAGGACTGACACAGTGACTGTAGTAATAGTCAAACATATGAACAATTGTGAAGATTGTGCAGTGCCGGGAAGTATTTCACTCTGTTTTATTTAGGATCTATGTAAGTCAGAGCCTACTCAATGGCACCTAATAGCAACAATAACAAATACCGACAGAAAACTAGCTCAGAACTTAAATAAAAAAGCATCACAGAAAAAAAAATTACTAATTTGTATTACATTAGTAATGCAAATGGTTAAGTACTTGTCTACTAATCGAACAGTTAGAGGCTTGAGTCCACCCAGAGGTACCTCCAAAGAAAAGTCTGATGATCTACTTCTAAAACATCAGCCATTGAGAGTTGCATGGTTCTACTCTTAACACAAGGAGCTCTGGTAGCATAGTGGTTACAAATCGGGCTGTGAGCCTCAAGGTCAGCAGTTCGAAATTACCAGCTGTTCTGTGGGAGAAAGATGAGGCTTTCTGCTCCCATAAAGTTTCATAGCCTCAGAAACCCTGTACAGGGTCACTATGAGTTGGAAACGACTCCACGGCACATAACCACCGCCACCACCCTTAACACACATGAAGTGGCTATGAGTCAGAATCCACTCAACCAAAACTAGTTGGTGGGTTGATTGGTTGGCAAATATCTAATTTAAAAAAAAAAAAAAATTTTTTTTTTTTAAGCCAAATCCAATTTCCAACTTATTGTTAAACAATTCCAATTCATTGTTAAGCTGAAGGTGAGAATATTCTGTAGGGTTTATAGGGAGCAGCAGGTGATTTTGAACTACCAACTTTGTCGTTATCAGTCCAGTGCTTATCCTACAGCATCACACCAGAATACTGTGTCACAAGGATTCCTGGGCCTAAACTACAAGCTCTTCAAATCAAATGGGAACAATTTGCCTTAATGGTTACAATCAATAAGCTTCCAAAGACTGAAATCTGAGACAGATCTATGACTGGAAAAAATTATTGCAGGAGTTAAATTTTTTAAAGAGTTGAAGTGGTTAAGAAGTTGTAAAGATTTGTCTATCCACCCAAATCATCTACTAATCATTATTAAATACCTCTTAGAACTACTTTTGGAACTCTGGAAACAGATCAACCAGGAATGTGCTTAATGAAGGGATAAGCTATAGCACCTTCCTAAGTGAACCACATGTTCCAACTGACTAGCATCCCCCATTCCCTACACGCACCTCCTCATAGAGGTAGAAACTATGTACAAATTTTCAGGTCAGTGATCTGGAGGTAAGGCAGACAGTGGGAAATTTCTACTCCAAGGTTTTGGAGTTTCACAGTTTGTAGAAAAACTTGAGTTAGTAAGGCCTTGTAAAGTCCAAGCAGCTATGGAGATTTCGACTTTTCCTGAGCTCTGTGCTATTGTTGGCAGTATAAAGGGTCGGAGCACCCCCTAGCGGAACAAGCCAGGCTACTTACTGATTATAGCAATAATAGACTTGGAACTCATGCTCTACAAAAAGTAATTTGGAAAAGGCTCTAAACAGTCAGCTCCAGCTATATCAAGTAATAGCAGCAATTGCTGAAGTACAAGGAAATCTCCTTCAAAATAACAGGGGAACAAGAACTCTGGATCAATCTTTGATACCCACACACAGGCTGGAGGACCAGACTTTTCAATAGTAGAACAGTTGCTGTGCAATCTATTACAGTATTTAAGTATTAGGGGAAAAAATAATGAAATTAAATATATTTTATGTATATTAAATATATATATACACACGCGCACACACACACACACACACAAGTACAACCCCTGGGGAAAGAAAGGATTCTGAGGCATAGAGGTATCACAGTATTCAAAGATCCAAGTGTTGCAGTATTAATGGAAAACTACAAGGCAAATTAGAAACATAAAAGATGACTCAATATAAAGAATAATACAATGATATAGAAAACAACCCAGTAGAATACCAGATAATGGGGAAAATTTCTGTGGTTGTTCTTAAGTTCCACTGAGTCAGTTCTGACCCATAGCGACAGTGTATAGGGTTTCCAAGGAGTGGCTGGTGAACTTGAACCCACGGATCTTGCAGTACAAACTGGCATTGCAGTCCAGCGCATTAGCCCATAGTGCCACACCAGGACTACTTGGTATATAAATGTACTACATACACTTGTTTGCAGTTTCATTTTCCAAAGCTTTAAAAGAATTTCTTTTTATTAAGCAATCGTCTTACCCAGTGAGTTTGACTGCATGTGTCCGAAGCCTTCGATATTTTCCTGATTCTTCATTTGTGCTGGTAATGTGTCTATATATCCCTCTCTTATAATGGAAGAAATCCTCATGGACTTGCATTATGGCTAAAATAAAAACCAACAGGAAAAATGGAAAATTTATTATTATTATTATTGTGTTTGAAAACCTAGAAATTGTGACAGAAAAGTCACTAGGTAAATTGCTGGATGTTGAGATTTTGCAATGCAGTCTAATTTTCTTCCCTTCTTAATTAATTTTGTTGTTAACACTTTCTTGTTCTTTAATTAAAAAATGGCTTTTCGTTATTTAGACTATTGCTTAAACACACATTGCACCTTTAAAATACTATCTATTCTTAATTGACAGAAGCAATGCAATAGAAGACGCAAATTAAAGGTCTTTGGGAGGTTTGACTATCTTACTTTGAAATGTATTTTAAATAAAAGGGGAGTTATAGTCTAGCAAATTCCAACAGTCGCGCTAATGGAGGGGGCAGTGGCTGAACGATGTGTGAGAACTGCGCAGACCTGGTGGAGGTGTTAAATGAAACCCAGACCACGGAACGGAGGGTTGAGAGGTGTCTGGAGACCAGGTCGATGGGCGGACACTGCCTAGAGGGAAGAGACTGCAGCGGCCAGCCAGGCTGTCCTACTTACCATGGACGCGAGGGCACCATCCCAGCCTAGCCATTGGATCGTGTCTTTGAGGAGGGCTCGACCAACTTAGAGACCCACAAGCA